TCTTGTTAACAGAGCAAAATATTCGAGGAGTAATATTTTTTATTCAAACGGAAATATTGTCAGTGTCAGCAGTTGCCTATCATGCAATATCCAAGTATCAAACTTAATTCATATGAGTGCCTATAAAACCATGCTTTAAATATTTCAGCTCGTTTATAAAGAGTTGCATGGGACTTTGAATTGAATTACCTTCCTCCATGTTGATCGAATACGAAAACTATGTGAGAAGAATAGTGATCGACTTTCTGGAGTATTGGACGGAGTGAAATAAAGTGTATATCTTAATTATGAGAACATTATTTGAAGTTTTGTTACCACATAAATTATTCACATATATTGGTACATTTTAGGAGTAATATTACAACTGTAATTTTGATTAATTCACTGGAAATGATAGCAAAGTATGTTTAAAGAATCTTGCTTTTTTTAGTAAACGTGGAAGGGTAATAAAATTAATAATAATCTAATCAATAATAAATAATTATTTAAAGGTCACATGCAACCAAAAAATCAAACATAATTAAAACACAATTATCACTTATTCATGACATATAATATACATTGCTGGTTACGAAAAAATATATAAACAAAATTATAAGCGTACAATCGCAAATCGAAAGTGCAAAATTGTGTACTTCGGTTTACTTCCCAAGAAACGAAGCAGCCGGGATACCGAACCCAGTCAGAGCGGGTGGGTGTGCACTCAAGTGTAACGGCTGGTTCATTTGCAGATGCCTTCACGGCTAATTGTGTGTATATATATAGAGAGATGTTGGGTTTTGTAAATAATGCTCATTTTTTGTGTATAACATTTTGCAATCAACAGACATCATAACATGTCATGTGTTCAAGTATCACACCTGCCTGTCTGTGTAATTACATAATGTGACAGATACCGAACTCGGGCCATAAATCAATGCATTTTGTTTATGGTGTATAGCCTGATTGGTGTTAAGTTCAAATTGCATGTGGTCAGTGATAGCAGCTGTGTATTGAATATTGTCATTAGCAGACAGGCAGGCAGACACCCAGGTGTCAATAAAACAAGACATTGAGTTTTGTCTGTGACAACGACATATCTATATCACAGTTTGAAATTCTGTCAACGCTAAATAATGACATTGCTTTTAAGTATCGAACTGAGAAAGTGTCTCGGTAAGAAGAACGTGTGGTGAAATAGACAAATGAAATTATATAAACAGTTAATTTACTGTCATAACATATAAAAAGCTCGCGCCTGTGAGATATCAACAAAACATTAGAAAAATAGCTCACACCAAAGCCTTCACCGAGTATTCACCCGACAACCCGCTTCCAAGCTGCGCGAACCTATTTACTTGCGCACGTGCTATGAGCGCAGCCCAGCTGTTGAAACCCGTTTTCCCCAGAAAAGTCTGGGGAAAATTAGTAAAACGTTTGAACTCCGATTTCGCGCGTTTTTTCATCGCGTTATTTTTCAACTTTATAAGTTGAATTTGCATTTTTGACGATTTGTTTCGGTATGTCCATACCGAAAGGTATCAGAATCTGCAAAGTTGTGTTTTACGTTGCATGTGACCTTTAATTGATTGACATATCAGATTCTTATGATTTTAAGGCTGAACTAGGCAAACAAACACCATATCATGGCAGGACAATCACTTGGTATTAACTTAGTTTCTTGGCTCCTGCTTTTAGATGTTTTTTTAAATACTACATTTACTAATAAGATAATTCTGAAAGTGATTGCTAGTATCATAACTCATAAAAGTTATTTCAACATCCAGAGAATTTGAAAAAGCAAAGGCTACGTTTTGGTCAAACCCTGGTCATGCATTATCCAGTCCTGCAGGGCCTAGATTTTCGAAGCACTCTTAGCGCTAAGATATGGTCGGAAGTGCCATGCATTAACATTAACTTACGACTATCTTAGCGCTAAGAGAGCTTCGAAAATCTAGGCCCTGGAACAGAATAACTTACAAAAATCTCAGTTGACTTTTCATGTAACGGAATAAATATTGAAACATATATTTAACCCATATTTGATGTAATTCTTCTGATAAATCATCAGTTTTTTTAGGAGGTTATCAATATTTGAAGACTGAGCCAAAGCTAGTGTTTATTAAGATGATGGATTTTGACAAATTGTTCAAGGTTTGTTGATGGTTATTTGGAAAATGAGCTTCATATTAAATTGCACACTGGTTTGTAGGAGTCGAATGCTTCAGGACATTTTCATGTCTGTTTTCCTAAACCTTTGTTATGACTTTTAACAAATTTTGAATCAACTTTACTATAATTTTTATGACACCGGTAAGTATCTCAGAAAAGGAAATAGATCAAAATCAGTGTTATGTCCTCTAGGGATATGGTCTCAGATCTAATAAAACAAAGATTATCATTGTTTAATTAAGAAGCAATAATGTCAATATGTAATTGTATTGACAAAAAGCATTGAACATAGGATATATTCTTTGCACCTTATTTACACTAGTAGTTAGCAGTTAAACGTCTCTGATGAAAAAACAATAGATCTACATTTGTATTTTGTGTAACATTCTATTTTAATGCTAGTTAATTGTTCGGATAACTGTGGATTCTCTGTTCCAAGATTTTGCATCACATGTTTCGTATTTCTGGAAGATGGCTCAGCTAGTGTACAGGTGCAGACTGTATCTTGGATCTTTTTTGTGTTCTGGTACTGTGACATACCTGTACATAAACGCTGGCAGTTCATGAAGTCCAGTATTGTGGAAGTTTGTATGTAAATTAGGATTCAACAACAAAGTACATATAGAAAAGTAAAATGGAAATGATTAAAAAAATGATTTCCTTATATTCAGTGTCAGTTTATCATGGTGTACAGATTTTGAAGAGAGAAACTTTACTGAGAATTGCTGCAGATCAGCTGTTGAATATTTGCTTCTGGGTATGTCCAGATCTAGATACATCCATGGAAACATACTGTTTACAAGCCCAATTACTTTTCCAGATTTCCAAATGTGATTGATTTGTTTACATAAATTATATACAGACAAATAAAGTGCATGAAGTAGTACACGGGAAATATTTTCTGCTTTTTATTTACCATTCTCTTAATTCATTAAAAGATGGAAACCCATGTTTTCAGATTATTGAACTAAATTTGAACAACGCCAGCGGATAAGTAAAGGCACCAAGCGCAGTGTTGATAATCTATTTATAGATACCAAAACTATCTGCAACATGAACATGTGGTTGAGTTCACGAGTTTTATAAATTTATAAACTCAAACAACAAAATTTCAGTTACCCTTCCCCTGCTAATATCTGTGACGGAGGTGAATTGCCAGATAGATTAATTGATTCGAAAGAAATTACGCTTCCTACAGTCTCAGCAGCTAGTCGAGACGATTTTTCATCGGGCATGTAACTCATTTTCACTCGCCAGTTGCAATCTGCCAGCTATAATATAATAAAAATCACATACGTATAACTTGCCTCTTTAAATAACATTCACAAACGACGGATACTAAAGTATCACAAGCAGAATTCATCAACAACGTTCGCAATCACGTAACGTTTCGCCGGCGGTGACGCCATTGTGATTTGTCAGTGGTTGTCCCCCCTAACGTCAAAAACGAAGTTTGCGGGGCTTATCGGCCGGGACTGGATCGGTCTATTAGGTGGCGTTTTGTTTATAACGTAAACCACTGGAACAAAACGTAGAACACTAACAGTTAACAATGTACAATTTAATTAATAGTTAATTTAGCCAATTTGGAATTTGAAGGTTCTGATGTGTATTGTATGATCAGCAAGGGGGAAATGTTTGCCGTTATAAAAGCAATATATACTAATGTGAGGTCATGTGTTCGCAGCAGGGATGCTGAAACAGATCTCTTTGATTGTCCTTGGTTTTAAGACAAGGCTGTATTTTCAGTCCTATTGTTTTCATGTTTCATTAATGAATTATGTATATTGAAATAGCTTCAAATGGTAAACACGGTATCCAAAAGTTTCCTGACTTAATATAAGCTTTGAGGTTACTTTTTGCAGACGATGTCATTTTAGTGTCAAATCTATATTGTTGTTCTTAAAAGACAACTAGATGTTCTAAATGCATACACACAAAAATGGAAATTATCAGTGAAACTAGAAAAAACCCTAAGATATTTGTTCTTTTGAAAAGGTGGTCCAATAGCGCTAAAAGAGTGAGTGAGTGAGAATGGTTTTACGCCGCTTTTAGCAATATCACGGCGGGGGACACCAGAAATGAGCTTCACACATTGTACCAAAGTGGGGAATTAAACCCGGGTCTTTGGCGTGATGAGCCAACAATTTAACCACTAGGCTACCCCACCGCCCAGCACTGAAAGAAAGATGGTTAGTTGATGGAGAGTTAATCAGTGTAGTAGATCATTATTCATATTTAGGATTCTGTTTTTTGACACATAGTGAACTTGAAAAATTGTACCCAACATTTATCATTGCATGCAAATAAATGCTTTAATAAAGCTGTAATGTCTAGAATGTTTGAACCATGTCACCTAATATGTTCTTTAAGCTCTTTGATACCAAGATACAACCAATTATTATTATTATTAAACGGCTCTGAAATATAATGATTTCAGTGGTATTACTGTTGGGAGGTTTACATATTAGCATGTAACATATTCCTCTGTGTTCGATGCTCTACACCAAAACGTATGGTTTACGGTGATTGTGGTAGATACCCATTATATATTATTTCCAAAATTAGATTTTTAAAATACTGAGTCAAAATTCTTCATATACACGAATAGTGTCTCCCCAAAATAGTCTAAAATAGTTTCAATCTTGAAAGCACAATGAACACCCCCAGTTCGACATCGACTGTCACAATGTCTTCCAACAAAATCTCTGAACTAAAGCAATACACATTCTGGCACAACATTCCATAATACAGAAATCTGATTAATCGAGAAGGTTTCATTAGAAGTGATGCAGTCTTTATAACTGGTGTTTCACTCTGGAGAGATTTGGACATTCAGTGTGAATTCATCAAATCGAATATTTAAGTGGGAGATCATATCCTGTCATCTTCTCAGAGTAGACCTTGTCAAATTCCTCGTTCTGTGCCACCGTGTACCAGTTCTTCCAGTCCCCAACACCACCTGATTATAGGAGAAGAACAAAACACAACCATATGTCTGTGACCAGAACCTAGTGGGTTATACATTTTCCATAGCTACCTCATACATCTTCAATCATTATCACATTTGCTGCACCACATGGACATGCCCAGCCCGTTCCGAGTTTCTTTGGATTGTTAACGCCACACAGCTGTTCGTGGGCTTCATATAGCTGATGCAATTGTAAAAAGTGCATCACCTGGCGTCATCTCAGATAAGGTGATGTAAATTTAATACTTCCAAGGCGGCGAGGAAATAAAGAGACAACATTTCCAGTTTGTCTGTAGTCAGTGTAAACCAGTCGCCTCGTTTCATGCCCATAGGGCCTCGCATAGGATATTAGGTCCAGTTTCATCAACAGGTGGCAGTGGAGCTTACCTAACATGTCAACTTGTGTCCGTTTAGTTTTACGCCGCATTCAGCAATATTCCAGCTAAATGGCGGCGGTCTGTAAGTAATCGAGTCTGGACCAGACAATCCAGTGATCAACAGCATGAGCATCGATCAGTGCAATTGGGAACCGATGACATGTGTCAACCAAGTCAGCGTGCCTGACAACCCGATCCCACTTGTCGCCTCTTACGACAAGCATGGGTTACTGAAGATCAATTCTAACCCGGACCTTCACGGATCTAAGAACAGAATAACCTGTTGAGGACAGACTGATAACAGCCATACAACAAGCATGGGTTACTGAAGATCAATTCTAACCCGGACCTTCACGGATCTAAGAACAGAATAACCTGTTGAGGACAGACTGATAACAACCATACGACAAGCATGGATTACTGAAGATCAATTCTAACCCGGACCTTCACGGGTCTAAGAACAGAATTACCTGTTGAGGACAGACTGATAACAACCATACGACAAGCATAGGTTACTGAAGATCAATTCTAACCCGGACCTTCAAGGGTCTAAGAACAGAATAACCTGTTGAGGACAGACTGATAACAGCCATACAACAAGCATGGATTACTGAAGATCAATTCTAACCCGGACCTTCACGGGTCTAAGAACAGAATAACCTGTTAAGGACAGACTGATAACAACCATAAAACAAGCATGGGTTACTGAAGATCAATTCTAACCTGGACCTTCACGGGTCTAAGAACAGAATAACCTGTTAAGGACAGACTGATAACAACCATACGACAAACATGGGTTACTGAAGATCAATTCTAATCCGGACCTTCACGGATCTAAGAACAGAATAACCTGTTGAGGACAGACTGATAACAACCATACGAGGCAGGATGTGGTTTACAGTCAATTTAAGACACTGCTCCATTGCTGCCTGAGGTATCACGCGGAAAAAGCTGCGTGGACATGAGTGGATGTGATTGGATATGAGTGGACATGAGTGTATATGATTGGGCCGAGGTGTTACAGTCTACTGACAAATGGGTTTTAGTCCATGTCACAATTTCATTCATATTATGATTCATATTTTGTTTTTTTCATGTTAATAAATTCCTACAAAGACAAGTATCCAACAAGGATATATTTAAATGCATGACATATCAACCACACACTGACATGTACCTGCATCTCACCTTTTCTGAATACCTGCGGCACTCCGTCTTGTATCAGTCCTTTACCAACTTCCAAGGCAACGGTTTTCATATTTTCAAAGCCACATTTATCGCAGATGCCTTGGATAAGTTCCTCATCCACCTCCACACCAATGAAGTCAGCCAACTCCTGCACGCCAGCGACCGGGTCCTGTACACGCACCATAAATGTACATGAATGAGCATCACACACAGAAACTATTAATTACAGAATTTAGCACATGAATGTGTAACACTTATTCTTCACACAGGATATATGCCTTTCTAATATTTGAACCTGGATCAGATAATGTCATGATTCTGGAGGTTGGATGATGTGGCATCAGGCGATCAAGTCTTCTCTAAAGGCAACTATTGCTCTACATTGTCAAATGACTATGACCTTACAAGTTACATGAACCTTACACTCAAACGTGCTCATAGCCTTGTACTGAGAAATTACTATAGCCTTACAATGGCAAGTGACTATTACCTTTCAATAACAAATGACTACAATCGTACACTGAGAAGTGAATGTAGAAGATACTACTACTGTAGCCTTAGACGGACAAGTGACTACATCTTGCACTGACAATAGATTTATTCCGACACAATAACGTTACAGCCACAATATCCTTTCACGACCACTGTTTATATGATTATACAGAGCAGGGTCTATAATGTACATGCACTCGTGTAGACCGGGGGCAGAAAAGGTCCTCAGCACCATATTGTTGGTCGTAAAAGGGGACCAAACTGGGTAACCTGTTTGCCGTGGGTTGCGCGCATGTGTCGGTGGAAGAGGTGAGGTGAGGTGAAATTGGGTTTTACGTCGTGCTTGAGAATATTTCGCTCATATGACGACGTGCATGCGTGTGTATGTGTACGTGCAGCTGCTTGTACTAGCCCAGACTTAAGCTGGTTTTATAGTGCTACCTCATTGAGATACCATGCCGCAGTGAAGCATGAATACCCCACTCAGACACATTATACTGACTCCGAGCCGACCAGTCCTTGTTGTGCCCATTAATGCCGAGTGCCAGACTGAGACCAACAAGTACCATATTTTAATGTCTTTTGGTATGACGCGACCGGGGATCGGTCAATCGGCTGGTCACGCCAAGCCCTGTGCATAAAATATGCACATAAATTATTTGAATATAGAATATGTTTTGATTGGACATGGCCAAAATATTTATGTTTTCAAAATGAAATATGCCAAGAGTCTTATGCCAGAAGGTGGTAACTCATGGGATAATTTGGTGATGTTGACCTCCGAAATCTGTAAGTCTCCAATTTCTGGTTATGGCCCAAACCTGCCAGACACTTAATTTGGTAAACTAATGCGGCTTTTCGCGTCATACTTGCAGATGTATACCATCCCTGGTGTTTACATAGTGGATATCTGATCCTAATAAACATCGCTCATTTTGGCACTCCATGGTGTGTTTTATTCACAAAGTCTCAACAAAATCCTGGTTTAAACTGGTCAAAACGAAAACGTAGAATGAAACTGCACAGAATATAAATGTGTCTCCTGAACTGGATTCATGGTCTCGATTTGTTGTCATCAAAGCTGCAGATAAATATTTTGAACCAATTAAACACAACCCACTCGACTTTTCCAGAAGTGAAGTACGTGACACGTGTTTATGGTGGATCACTGCTTATTAAGTTTTCGCGGAGACAACATCGAAGTTGTCCGTGCATAAAACCTTGAACATTTGCCGTGGCATTGTTCGTGACAGAGCATGTTGCCTGTCTGAATTGTCTGAGATGGAAATTTCAAAAGAAAGACAAATATTAGTTACTGTAATCTTTCACTAAGTAGTTACACATACTATACTCTTTCAACAAGTAGTTACTATAACCTCACACAGTCGAGTGACTGTAACCGTCCACCAACATTTGACTATAACCTTCCACCAACATTTGACTATAACCTTCCACCAACATTTGACATTAACTGTCCACCTACATTTGACTATAACCGTCCACTGACATTTGACTATAGCCGTCCATCTACATTTAACTATAACTGTCCACCAACATTTGACTATGACCTTCCATCAACATCTGACTATAATCTTCCACCAACATTTGACAATAATCTTCCACCGACATTTGACTATAACCTTCCACTGAAATTTGACTATAACCTTCCACCGACATTTGACCATAACCTTCCACTGACATTTGACTATAACCTTCCACCAACATTTGACCATAACCTTCCACCAACATTTGACCATAACCTTCCACCAACATTTGACTATAACCTTCCACTGACATTTGACTATAACCTTCCACCGACATTTGACTATAACCTTCCACCAACATTTGACCATAACCTTCCACTGACATTTGACTATAACTTTCCACTGACATTTGACTATAACCTTCCACCAACATAAGACTATAACCTTCCACCAACATTTGACTATAACCTTCCACTGACATTTGACTATAACCTTCCACCTACATCTGACTATAACCTTCTACTGACATTTGACTATAACCTTCCACTGATTATTTGACTATAACCTTCCACCAACATCTGACTGTAACCTTCCACCGACATCTGACTATAACCTTCCACCGACATTTGACTATAACCTTCCACTGATAATTTGACTATAACCTTCCACCAACATTTGACTATAACCTTCAACCAACATTTGACTATAACCTTCCACTGACATTTGACTATAACCTTCCACCAACATTTGACTATAGCCGTCCTACTACATTTGACCAAAACCTTCCACCAACATTTGACTATAACCTTCAACCTACATTTGACTATAACCTTTCACTGACATTTGACCATAACCTTCCACTGACATTTGACTATAACTTTCCACTGACATTTGCCTATAACCCTCCACCAACATTTGACTATAACCTTCCACCGACATTTGACCATAACCTTCCACTGACATTTGACTATAACTTTCCACTGGCATTTGACTATAACCTTCCACCAACATTTGACTATAACCTTCCACTGACATTTGACTATAACCTTCCACTGACATTTGACTATAACTTTCCACTGACATTTGACTATAACCTTCCACTGACATTTGACTATAACCTTCCACCGACATTTGACTATAACCTTCCACTGACATTTGACTATAGCCGTCCTACTACATTTGACCATAACCTTCCACCGACATCTGACTATAACCTTCCACTGACATTTGACTATAACCTTCCACCTACATCTGACTATAACCTTCCACTGACATCTGACTATAAGCTTCCACTGACAATTGACTATAACCTTTCACTGATTATTTGACTATAACCTTCCACCAAAATTTGACTATAACCATCCACCAAAATTTGACCATAACCTTCCACCAACATCTGACTATAACCTTCCACTGACATCTGACTATAACCTTCCACCAACATTTGACCATAACCTTCCACTGACATTTGACTATAACATTCCACTGACATTTGACCATAACCTTCCACCAACATTTGACTATAACCTTCCACCAACATTTGACTATAACCTTCCACCTACATTTGACTATAACCTTCCACCAACATTTGACTATAACCTTCCACTGACATTTGACTATAACCTTCCACTGACATTTGACTATAACCTTCCACCAACATTTGACTATAACCTTCCACTGACATTTGACCAAAACCTTCGACCGACATTTGACTATAACTTTCCACCGACATTTGACTATAACCTTCCACTGACATTTGACCATAACCTTCCACCGACATTTCACCATAACCTTCCACTGACATTCGACTATAGCCGTCTTACTACATTTGACCAAAACCTTCCACCGACATTTGACTATAACCTTCCACCAACATTTGACTATAACCTTCCACCAACATTTGACTATAACCTTCCACCAACATTTGACTCTAACCTTCCACCAACATTTGACTATAACCTTCCACCAACATTTGACTATAACCTTCCACAAACATTTGACTATAACCTTCCACTGACATTTGACTATAACCTTCCACCAACATTTGACTATAACCTTCCACAAACATTTGACTACAACCGTCCACTGACATTTGACTAAACCGTCCACCAACATTTTACTATAACTGTCCATTTGACTATAACTTTACACATTGCAGTGACTGTAACTGTAATACAAGCAAGAGACTATAACCTCACACCGACAACTGAAAATATTCTGACACAAGCAAGTGACCATAACTTTACAAGTGTCTAGAACCATACATTGAGTAGGTCCTCACAAACATCAGATGAACGCTATAGTTAGCCCAAATGAGTAAATGTTCTTTGAGTAGTGTGCAGATAATGCCGGGAATGAATCATTAGGTGTTTGTTTCATACAGAGGAAGGTCTCGTCAATTACTGTAACAACAGGGTGCTCAAATGTCATCCCGAAGTCCCCCCCAAACCTGCACAATGTCAGCGTTGGCATGTATCATTCAACTGTATGGCTGGTGTTCCTGTGCCGTGCTCGCTGTAACTTTGTAAGGGTCAAAGAGACGTTTTAAGTCATGCAGAGAAAATAGGTTATGTTACCATGCAGGTGTACCGTATAAGATTCATTGTTAGTATCGTATTTCTGTGGGGTGAAGGCAGCTATTGTGCAATCCTTTAATAAGGGTTTTCATGTTAGTTCAGTGGACGACCAGCATTTGTACACAATGGATACACGAGTAAATTGTTCTCTTCACCAAAACATTTTAACCAAGAAGGTCACGCATTGTTCACGCATGTTGGAATTGATGTGAATTAACCATGTGTTTTGTTAGGCCTCCCAGCCCTTATGAAGTGAAACTCTATGACTATCTTCATCAACTGGACCTGTTTACAAAACGCTCTGAGAACATGTCTGTCGTTTCTTGAATTTTGCATTCATTATGTGAATCAGGATCTCGGATCTTGCGTTAAGGTGAGTTCCCGTGCTCACGAGTGAATGTTACCAAAGTAGTAAACTTGGGGCTTTCCTCACAAGCACTGGAACAAAGCTCGTGAATACATACCAGTTTCATGTCTTCATAATACATAAGCTTTATTGGAAGTTGAGGATTGTCTTGCTTTGCTCTTATGAAGGTGATAGTGTTGTCAAACCAGGAACCCCAGTCAACTGAAATATACAAGACGTCGAATGTTATAAAAAATTCGAACGTGAAGCCCACATTTAACAAAATAAACAAGACATTAGTTTTTTCATAGTTGTCCAGATATGGGCCCCGGTCCACTGCAATATACAAGATGCCAAACGCTTTACTGGTGTCGAGGAACCCCAGTTAACGGAAGATACATGATGTCTACATATTCTCTGGAACGGTATTGGTGGGTTCGAGATTACAGTGCTCCCTGGGAGAAGTCTCATTCGCTGCCTGTCCTGCATGGAGAAGGACAAGGCTACACGACCTGTTGTAGGACCTTACAAGATCACCCAACAAAAATGATGTACATGGGTAAATGCGGTTGCCATTTGTGTGTTCATCACATACTGATTGCTTTAAAAATATGCTATAAAAAGGTACAAATCTGATGCGGCGCCAGGGTCTGATGGTATTCGAAATCGTTAATGGAAACCTCTCTTGTCTCCAAACACTGTTACTTCACTGTTTCAGTTCACTCGTGGATTTAGGGATGTTCGCCCTTGGTTCTGCTAAGGTCAAACAATACTTCTCCCAAAGAAGGTGATTTGACTGATCCCCAAAACTTCCACACAATTACGTGTCTGAATACTCCATACAAAATATGTACAGATCTTGTGGTACCCTACTGTTCCTCCGATGATATTGACATGGTGCAGAACGGGGCCAGAAAGGTTGCAAGGATTGTTGGTTCTAAACATTGACCTACCACTGTAACCTTCCTATGTGCTGAATGTATGTCAGACTCGTGTATGATTCTGTACCTCACGCACGTATTGACCTCCCTGATCGATTGCATGTTTTACTCAAGTTTTTAACGAATTGCTGGTCAACTAAACTTGAGATGAATTCGTAGTGGTAGGTGCTGACCTCTGACCCCATTTACATTAGAAATGCAACATCCTTCATTTGAAACGTGGCAAGATAGAAAATGGAGGATCAGTCAGTTTGCTTGGGGGAGAAGTAATTAGGAGTGCAGGTTAGAGACAAACTCCAGAATGCCAGTATAAAGGCGAAAATTAAGATTCAGGCAGAATACGAATGTAGACTTAAGAAAACATGCAGTTGTCACTAAGGTGACATAATCCCCCTCCGCAAATTATCAAATCAAACCTAAAATGTAATGAAAGTGAAGGTCGTAGTTTAAGATGAAGTTAAATGTCATCAAAAACATTACCAGTCAACCTCTGTTGATATCATGCTCTGTATCTGTTCAAACACACAAATATTTTCAAGACTCACTTTGACCTTGACATGAATGTCATGGTGTATTGGAATATGCAAAAAATAGTAATAAAGAAATTGCTTATCAAACAACATTCAAAAGGAGTCTTGAAAGTCTATGAAGAAAATCCAGTGAACTGTTCTTGAGATATCTTGCTGACAATCTTAACATGCTGAAATCTTCAAAGTGTCGCTGTGACCTTGAATATTATGTGAAGGTCACCAAAATCGGCTGGGCCCTGCGCCTTCCCTAGATGAATCTGCTTGGTGTCAAATATGAAGAAAATCCAGTGACAGGATCTTGAGATATCTCGCTGACAAGGGTAAAACGTAAAAGTACCCTTGTGACCTTGAAATGAAGGTAAAGGTCACCAAACCTGACGGGGACCTTTCGCATACTGTGATGAACGTAGGTACCAAGTATGATAAGAATCTAGTCAACGGTTCTTAAGATATTCCAATTTGTACATACGTGTCTACATATTCTCCGGAAAGGTCTTTGTTGGGTCGAGATGGCTTCAAATCCTGGAAGAAATCCCATTCACTGTCTGTCCTGCATGTAGAGGGGGACAAGGCTACCTGACCTGTAGAAGGGCCTTACATGACCACTCAAGCCCTCTCTACTGCATACTATGTCTTAATATGAGACATTGACGCAGAGAGATCAAGAATTGCACTGGTACTCTATCAGAAGCACACCCCTTCTGACACTCTGGGTATTTCAGAAGGCTGCCGTGTTGGGGAATCTCCACATTGTCCGGGGAACGCTTCTTGGGAAAAGTCGCTATCAGGCTGTGTGCAGAGACGGCATGGGCACTTGGGATGGTGATAAACCTCACAAACCTGACAGTGCCAGGGTCAACCGCACCCTCTTTACTAGATTTGTTTGCATATGTAAATAATAGCAATAGCTACAAATGACACGTAGAGTAACATGGTTCTTAGATAACATTTGGCAGAATTTGAAGACTCTAAGAACATAGATATTGAGCAAATACTATTTATTTGGTATACATACCCAGCCCATCCAGAAACATCTGGTGGTAGTCCTTCCATTCCCCGTGGTAGTTATACATGTCCTTTAACGCTTTGTGATGGTTGTAAAACGACACAGACACGTCTTTTGGGTTCCTCATCACGTGTACAATTTTGCATGCCTTCTCTGCTATCTGTGTGGGCAGTTGATCAAACTGGACATGTGTGTTGAGAACCCTAGGGGAGGGCGCAGCGTCTAACGCTGACTTAGGGGAACACTCTATCATCAGGTCCCCCTTCCAGGTGTCTCTCATGTTCTCGGCCTTTCTTGCTGCCAGCTGACTGAGGATCTCCCAAAACCAATGTGTTCCTGCAAAACAGTTTGAACAATTGTTTTGTGTCTATGATCATTTCATTATAGCATCTTTTTGTCAATTGTTCATCACCAATAAGCGCTAATTAACTGTTGACTCTCTGTGTTACTTTACTTGGTTTTCATATTTCCTCTAGGCATCGTAGCATTCATTCTCCAAACATGTACTTTCTTATGTGTATAACTTCTAAATGCCCATTCTCAAAACATATACTTTCTGATGTGTATTACTTCTAAATACCCATTCTCCAAACATATACTTTCTTATGGGTATTACTTCTAAATGTCCATTCTCTAAACATATACTTTCTTATATGTATAACTTCTAAATGCCCATTCTCCAAACATATACTTTCTGATGTGTACTACTTCTAAGTGTCCATTCTCTAAACATATACTTTCTTATGTGTATAACTTCTAAATATCCATTCTCCAAACATATACTTTCTGATGTGTATAACTTCTAAATGTCCATTCACCAAACATATACTTTCTTATGTGAATTACTTCTAAATGCCCATTCTCCAAACATATACTTTCTTATGTGAATTACTTCTAAATGCCCATTCTCTAAACATATACTTTCTGATGTGTACTACTTCTAACTGTCCATTCTCAAAACATATACTTTCTTATGTGTATAACTTCTAAATATCCATTCTCAAAACATATACTTTCTGATGTGTATTACTTCTAAATGTCCATTCACCAAACATATACTTTCTTATTTGTATTACTTCTAAATGCCCATTCTCCAAACATATACTTTCTTATGTGAATTACTTCTAAATGTCCATTCTCTAAACATATACTTTCTGATGTGTACTACTTCTAAATGTCCATTCTCTAAACATATACTTTCTGATGTGTACTACTTCTAAATGTCCATTCTCTAAACATATACTTTCTTATGTGAATTACTTCTAAATGCCCATTCTCCAAACATATACTTTCTGATGTGTACTACTTCTAAATGTCCATTCTCTAAACATATACTTTCTGATGTGTATAACTTCTAAATGCCCATTCTCCAAACATATACTTTCTTATGTGAATTACTTCTAAAATGCCCATTCTCCAAACATATACTTTCTGATGTGTATTACTTCTAAATGTCCATTCACCAAACATATACTTTCTGATGTGTATTACTTCTAAATGCCCATTCTCCAAACATATACTTTCTTATGTGTATAACTTCTAAGTGCCCATTCTCCAAACATATACTTTCTTATGTGAATAACTTTTAAAATGCCCATTCTCCAAACATATACTTTCTGATGTGTATTACTTCTAAATGTCCATTCACCAAACATATACTTTCTGATGTGTATAACTTCTACATGCCCATTCTCCAAACATATACTTTTTATGTGTATAACTTCTAAATGCCCATTCTCAAAACATATACTTTCTGATGTGTACTACTTCTAAATGCCCATTCTCCAAACATATACTTTCTTATGGGTATTACTTCTAAATGTCCATTCTCTAAACATATACTTTCATATATGTATAACTTCTAAATGCCCATTCTCCAAACATATACTTTCTGATGTGTACTACTTCTAAATGTCCATTCTCTAAACATATACTTTCTTATGTGTATAACGTCTAAATATCCATTCTCCAAACATATACTTTCTTATGGGCATTACTTGTAAATGCCCATTCTCCAAACTTTTCAGAGTTGCACATAGCATTGCTAAAAATTCAAGGCCCATTTCGGATGATGAGTGGATGTGTTGTTTGGAAGGGAAGCTGGGTGTGGATCTAGGACCTACATACAGAAACCGTACATCATGCAAGGAGTTCATGATTTAAATAGCTGAGGTTGAGCGCCAGAAAATTGAAGATGAGTTGGCTCAGACGAATTACTGTACCATCATGTCTAAGGGATCAACAGATGTCTCGGGTGTTGAGAACGAGGTGGTGTATGTCCACTTTGCCAGACAAGGAGCATGTCACTGTTATTTCCTAGGGATGATGGAGACTGAATGTGCCAATGTTAGTGGAATTTACTCGGCAATAATGGAATCTTTGCATTTCAACAAACTCTCAACTGAGGAGATACAGGAAAAACGTGTCGGCTTTGCTGGAGATGGAGCATCAGTAAATACTGGTAAACTGAATGGTGTCATTGCATTATTTCAAGGCAGGATCAATCCGTCTTTTTTGATGATTCAGTGCATGGCACACCGTGTTGAACTGGGCTTGAAAGATGCTATGAAAAATGTTCCCCTGTTTTCTAAGGTTGTTGAACTTCAGGATGATATCTTCAAATTCTACAAAAGTGCTAAACAGAAGTCGGAACTAAAATCAGTCTTTGAGACTTTGAAACTGCAGTTCTCCATGCCTACTCGAGTTGGGGGTACGAGGTGGGTGGGCCATATGCTACTAGCGGTCAAGAACATGCTGAAAGGATACAGAGCCCTGGGTTTTCATTTGAGCAAGGTAAATTTATACATATAAAAGTTTAACAATTAAGGCTCTTGTGATAGTAACTTACAGTTATAGCAACCTTGATAGTACACATAAGTAATAGATAATAATATACTAATAATCAGATAGTACACATGATATATAATTACAATTGTCAGAGTGTGTTTTTTGTGAATACATTGAGATATATGTGTACACTAAACTGAACATTCTTGGTTGATATCTGTTGAAAAATGTTTGAGCAAAGAAAGTTAGTACAATGTCTGTTCTTTACTTGCGTTGTATCACATTCACAGTAATGTTCCTTTTTGTAAACATCATCATGATACTAATATCAGACTTATTTATAGTACGACAGTAGTACTCTGATAGTTTACTTAAATATTTATGTCTGTTTCAGGTTGCTCAGATACGTTCCCAGTCAGCAGCTCAGTCTAAGGCGATGAACTTCATCAAAAAGTTGAAGACAAAGAGTATTATCTTCTTTGCCCACTTCCTTGTAGATGTGCTCAGTGTTTTGGCTCGCCTTTCCAAGCAACTCCAGGACAAGAAGGATGTGTCTTCCAGGTCCATAGACAGCTTGAAACTACACTTATCAACCTGAACAAGCTGGGGAAAGGTGTGCATGTCAAGTGACCAAATATAATCTTTTAACTTGTATGTTTGTAGTGACCTGGCTTTGCAATCCTTTCCCTGCTAATGCTTATCTTTTCTGTAAACACAGTCTCTGCTTTTGTGTACTGACCATATGAATGCATATAATTAGTAATATCTAGTTCATTCAAACACCAGCATCTCAAATCTATTCTAATCCTACACCCTGCTTGTATTCTCTGTCTGTTTCCTGTTGTGTTCTTCTGTCAAGGAGCTCTAAGAATATGGTGGTGGCATTTCAGAGATGGATTTGAACTGAGAAAATTGCTTCCTCAGACACGTTTGAAGGTGAAAGTTTGACAGGAAATACATCTGAACATGATGCACAGTCAGCCAGAGTAATTAAAGGTCTAGTCAGCTGCCTTCAGAGAAGATTTGATGATCTTGACGGGAACTAGTCAAAAGGGCCGAAGGACAAAAGGGCCGAGAAGTGCCTAGTCAAAAGGGCCGATGGAAAAAGTCAAAAGGGCCGAGGTGAAAGTCAAAAGGGCCGTGACAAAAAGTCAAAAGGGCCGAGGTGAAAGTCAAATGGGACGAATAGAAAAAAAGTTTAGAAAGGTTTTACATTATTTATTGACACATATAGCATAATATCAGCATAACATTACTAAAGCATGTAGCCAAGTTTTCATGTAATGGCAATACATATATCTAATCAACACAAGGTCACATAATTAACAAAAATAACATTATGGCAATTTACACAAGTTCATTCGTTCATAATTTACACAATTTCATAATTGGTGCGGACTGACTGGTTGAATACAGACCAACTGACCACTGTGAAGATGGAGTGACTCATCCACTGTCGCTCCATGTAGTCACAGAGACCAACCAGCTTCTGTGACGACGCTCTCAAGACAAGAATAGGAACAGAAGATGACTTTGAAACATGTGGCTATATGAATATTATGCTTATACGAATGAATGAATGTGTTCCTGGCAATGTCGCCAGATGGCTTGTGTAAGATGGAAAACACAGCCGCGTAGCTTGACATCGGGGAGGAGTCGATCAAATACCTTCCATGTGGCAGCTTCGAAATCCATCATAATGCATCGGACTTGGGGTGGACGGGGTAGGACGAGCAGCATCTTCGTATGACTTTCAAATTCCAATTCCAAATCTTTCGGATTCTTTGGCCGAAGTTTTTCTCTACACCTGTTGGCGATACGAGCCAAATATTCAGGGTTGTCTCTGCTCCCAATGGCAGTATTGGATCTACCATATCGCTGGTGATATCCTCAGCTATTGACCTGGCAGACTTAAACAGGTCTTGCCTTGCAGTCCTCTTCACCTATAACAACAAGGTTGATTGATCCAATTACGAATCAATTCAATTCGTTAATATCTACCAATTAACAATTAAGGATGTTCAATTGACAATTTAACTAATCCTAATTAGGAATCAATCAATAGAAAGTACTACTCACCTGAGCTCTTACTTGGACTGAAACAATTTTGCCTGCCTCTGCTGTGTGGCTGTGGTTATGTTTGCCTGGCACTCTGTCTCCTGTTGAATTGGTCTCGGCAACAGTTGCCTTACAGGGACGTTTGCTACATCTGTAGTAAATCTTATTCTGAGTGACCTCCTTCATACTATTTTACTACGTAATTTATTAAATTTTATTTATTTTCGGCCCTTTTTTCGGCCTTTTTGACTTTTCATTTCGGCCTATTTGACTTTTAGCCTCGGCCCTTTTGACTCATTTTTTCGGCCCTTTTGTCTTTCGGCCCTTTTGACTACAACCCATCTTGACAAGGGTATTTTCAGTGCAACCAAGTTGGCTGATCTTAACTCTTGGCCTACCAGCTCTGAAGATGCTAAGGGTGTGTGCGTGTTGTTCAGTACTGATATGAATTCTAATAGTTATTGAACATATTCCAAACTTAGTACCAATGAGGTGTCTCAACTATGTCTTGTCTTTACTTAATGTACTTTATCCCTTTACTTAATTCCAATTTGGCGTATTGTCTGACTAAATTTATTACTAGTAAATATTAAAGATGATGTCCAAAAATGTTCTGTAACCTGTATGGTGGAAACATCTTAAAATGTTCAGCTTTTTTCCCATTTGAGATTATAATTATCTGCTTTTGACTTTTGTATCTTTGTTATGTGTTGAATAGGATAACTTAAAAATATACTTGTTTTTACCATAATTGAAAACTGTAAAGTATTACCTGATTTTTCATGATGTAATTAGGCAGAATAGTGAAATCAGTATTATATGGATGACACAAATGACTTCAGTTCAGGATTAATAAAATCTTTAAAGTGATTCATGTTTGCAGATTTTGGTGATGATTGCCTCGTGAAATTGTTGGATCACTTCCATGACATCTTAGAGAGGAAAGGGGTGGACCTAGCTGCAGCTGAAGAAGAATGGACAGCCCTGAAACAGGCTTTGTATAAAAGCTTAGGAAATTAGTCTGAGCTATGCTGATAGCCAGATACCATGTAATTACTGATTGTAATTATCTCACTCTGGTGAGAGCTCATATTCGTATAATGTCTAGAATTTAACATTACAAAGTCATTATTAGGGCATTATTATTTTTCAGTGATCAGGTCCATGAGGCTAACTTGAATTGGGCCACAATCAACAAACTTCACAGAGAGAGGTGTCCTAACATCCTGGAGGTAATAGATTTGATTCTGTCTCTACCATCTTCCAGTGCTGAATGCGAAAGAGGATTTTCACAAATGAAGCTCACCAAGTCTCAATACCGAAACAAACTCAGCAGCTCATCAATGACACTCTTGATGACAATCCAACTTCACTCCAAGGCAGTTGTTGACTTTGACCCAACACACTCTATACATAAGTGGAACAAATATCATCATAGAAGGCCAGAGTTTTTGCCTAAGTCAAAGCGGGTCAGGAATTCAGTTTCACTGAATACTCTAGAGCATCATTTGAGTGAAGTTGAAGTGCCTCAAGCTGAAGAACTGCCTAGTGCAGGGGGAAGTTCTGAATCTGCACCCCTTTCAGATTCAGACTATAATTCTGTTTTTTCAGATTTGGACGAATCTGACTTTGAATATGATGACTAAACTGTTAAAGCCTTGACTGAAACAGATTTGAAAACATGTGTTATTGTGACAATAACCTGACATTAAACAGTTCCATCCTCTTATTTGCACTCTTATTTTTTACTTAATCCAGAAAAGTCTGGACTGGCAACTTTCCAACTGGTCTGGTAACTTTTGAGAGTTACCAGACCAGTTGTCTGGCTGAACTTTTGGGGAGTTTACAACACTGTGTAATGGCATCGAGTAATTTCTCCTTCTGATCGGCAGCATAGTTGTACATCTGAGGAGTGTTTGTTAAAGGTGGAACTGCTTGTAGTTCTATCTTGTATCCTCTGTGTAGTATCTGGGATACATAATCATCTTGTAGAATTCCCCAATTCTTCCTGTAAAGTTGTAGGCGTCCACCCACTGGTGAGGGTTGTACGGGAACGGTTGGGGGTGGAAGACTCCAGTCGTTCCGACCCTGTCCATCAACGTCTAAAGTTCATGGCACCTCTGAATCCTCTGCCTTTTCCGGGTTACCTCTGGGAGCTCTGGTAGGGTGACGAAAATAATCCTTATATCCCTTGGAAGTGCCATATTTCTTGTCTCTAGCTCTCTGAATTCCTGCAAATTTAGATTTGCCAAAGTAGCGCTGTGATGTCTGTCTGATAACGCTGGCCAGTGTATCGATGGACTTGACCATCATGACTTCTCTGGACTCCTTCGTAACTTCTTTTGCCACGTCCTCAATCTCCCCTGCGAAGATATTCGTTGCTGCCCATGGAGCTCTGAATAACGGTTTGGTGAACTTCTCACTCCATTTACAAGATGATAGCAGACCTTGTCTTCTTAGCAGCGTTAATCCCGCCGATGTAGACGCTAAATGTTCTGACATGAACTGTTGGTCTTTCCTTTGGGTCAGTAAGGCTGAGTAGATCATTCGATCTTCTTCAGATGTAGAGTTTGCAAACTTCGCAATTAGGGTTTCGTTGATGGCTCTTGATCTGGCTAAACCAAAGAAGGTATGTCTGGTGGTTGTGTCTAGTTGCGCTAGCTTCTTGTCCTCCACTTTATAAGTCCTGTTATTGATGAGTTTATAGTTTTCATCTACGTCCGGGCCCTTCATGAATGGTTCCATGTGGTGTAGTGAAAATCTCTTGGCATTAAAAGGTGGAATGCTTTGACTTTGATACTTCGTTGCCTTCTTGAAGGCTGAACTGAGGTTGTCTGGGATGTCCAGCTTCATTATTCTCTTTAGATGGTGATGCAAGCTTTAAGCCATTAGCCATGCAGGATTTAATCTCTGTGTCAGAGAAAATAATTCCCCCATCATCTTCAGGTTTAGATGTGTCTTGTTCTGAGGATCGTTGCCGTTGGTCCTGATCTCTAGGTGGAGATCTATGTGTAAGCCTGCGCGAAGGCACTCACGGGTGCCTTCCTGGAGATGTGGTAGGTGATCTGTATCTGCGTGGCAACAACCATGAAGACCTTCCTGAAGACCTGCGCGAATGTGATCTGTCTCTGTGAGCTGTATGCCTTCGTGAAGGTGTATTCTCTCTTCTACGGGACGTTCGCGCACACCTCCGATGATTGTCTGAGTCCGAGGTTGAGGATGATCTGCGATGCCTTCGCAAATGCTCCTCGTGTATTGCAGGAGCCTCTTCATAATTGTTCCTTCCTTCGCAAATGCCTTCACAGATGCTGTCTCGACTGTTGTCTCCATGAATGTCTTCACGAGTGGTTCTTCTGTGAATGCCTTCGCGAGTGCCGTCACGAGTGTTGCTGTCATGAGTGCTGTCTTCTTCATGAACGTTCCCTTAACGAACGTTCCCTTCACGCAGGGTGCTTCCTTCATCCCGATGAGGTGTAGACGATGCTCGTCCTCCTTGCAGATTCGTCTGCTTCTCTGCAGCCTTCTCCTGTGCAAACCTTCATTCCATCAGGTCCATCATCTGCTGGGTAAACTGCTGCATAAAGATGCCCGGGTTGAAGGTCTGCGCTGATAACTGTTGTTGTTGTACAGATGACGCCACATCTGACAGTGCTGAGGTGTCATCTAAGGACTGCCTGTCCTCCCTGGTATCTGCAGTCTGCGTAGATAGGACATCTGATTGCGTTGATATAGTTGCTGACGTCAGTGTAGAAGATCTCGTCTTCTTCCTCACCGGTACTTCAGGGATGAGGATCGGCGGCTCATCGTAAACGTCTGCTTCGTCCGATGGGTTGATATCTGCGGCGAAGGACCTCGACTTCTTCGTTGCCCCCACAGACGACTTGACTGAAGACGGCTTAGTCTTCACAGCAGACGATGTCCTAGTCTTCTTAGACTGCGACAAGGGTTGTTGAACCGATGACCATCTCTTCCTAGGGCCGGAAACCTCATTCCTCTGCTCTGAAGACGCCACCAGCAGCTCACTGGAATGATGTACCTCGACAGACAACAACCCACGGTTATTTACGCATTCACCCTGTTGAGACATGACTTGTAATTGTCGCCTCAACCTGTCCTTGGCACGACTATGAACAGAATATAAATAATTAGAAAATTCAATTTGAGATAAATGTTGACAAAGTTTACAGCGAAAGCTGGAAGAACATATAGAAGTGCAGTTAGGACATAGAGAATGCGATCAGCAGCTGACAACCGAAACCTGCAAGAAATGCAAGTCTTCATGAAATGTAAACAAGTTGAAACATGTTGTCAAACAACGTGAAAAACGGACAAATTTAGAATAAATTTCAAACCATATTGCTGGTAAATCCTTGCTAAAGTCCTTATACAGCTTAATTTAGTATAAAAGCCTAAAATTCAAAGGATATATGCCGTATAGAGGACCCAGGCGCTCTCACAACCGTCCACTAGGGCGAAGAAGGAGAGAGTGACAAGCATGGCTGATCATGTGACCAACTTTTGGCGCCAAAGATGGGGTAAAGGGAGACTACTGGGGTGAGTGATTTTACGTCCACTTTTTTAAGGGAGCTTCAAAGGGGATTCAAGTGTTCCACTATAGTTCGCAAAAAGAAGAAGACAAGCATTTAAGAATGAGTCAGGATAAGGAAAAATTACCCCTGTATTCCACATACCAAACCATAGAAATATTGCGATTTGTACTTTGTATTTGAAGCTAGAAAGGAAGATGGCACTAAGTACAAATCGCAATCTCTCTATGGTTTGGTCTGTGGAATACAGGGGTAATTTTTCCTTATCCTGACTCATTCTTAAACAGCACTGCAGAGCTTTGTTTAACGTATCGAAATCCATGTTCAAAATTGGTGTCGTTAAGCATTCCTTCGACAGAACAAAGTTATCAGCGATAGAAAGAAGTAGTCTATTATTTTGCCATTTTCGAAAGCTCGATACTGCCCACTCGTTTTTATATTTAGTGTTTGTTGGAACTGCATTTTTTACTTTTTCTTGAATTGTTTCTATGTCAAATGTTTCTGGTAAATGTTTTCGAGCTTCATCCACACTTACATCAAGTTCTTCCTGAGAAAATCGACTGTGTCAAAAACACATCCTCGTCGCTGGCCATCAGTCAGTACATGTGTGAGCGGCGTGCACGTGCAATACGCACTTTAAAGGCTGTGGGAGCACGTGACAATGGATCAGTCAACTATATAGGGGGTATGCTAGGTGTTTGAAACAATGCATATATATCGAACGGATAACATGTTTAATATTATTTTGGTGTTAATATTCATTTTATAAGACAGTTAAGGTACTCAGATTCGTTCTTTATGGCTCTAGAAAGACGAAGACGTTGTTCTATCTGGCCCACCCTGCACTCCCTGAGGTCTTTCTACAGCCATAAAGAACGAATCTGAGTACCTTAACTTTTACAAACACAAAGCAAGTTGCCAATAAATATTGGCTCGGCATCATGTTGTGATGTACGAGTCATATGCTGATGACACCCAGCTGTTGCGTTCCACTAAACCGGACTCACTTCCAGCCGATATGTCTATAATCGAAGACTGTATCCTTGACTCCAAAGCATGGATGATACAAAGGAAGCTGAGATTAAATGACAGTAAGACCGAGGTTTTGCTGTGTGGATCACCCAGTAGCACTGCTAAGGTGGATGTGTCTTCGTTGGTAGTGGGTAATGTGAAAGTTCCTTTCAGTGATTCCGTGAAAGACCTTGGTGTTTTTCTAGACTCAAATTTATCCATGGAAACACACGTAAACTCTGTTTGTAAGTCATGCTATTTTCATCTCAGAAATATTGCTTCCATTCGTGATATTCTGACATTTGATGCAGCTCACCACCTAGTTCGTTCACTTGTTCTCTCACGTTTGGATTATTGCTGCAGTCTTCTTGTAAATATCCGCCAAGATCTATTGTCCAAGCTCCAGAGGATTCAGAACTCTGCGGCGCGATTGATTTGCCGAGTCAACAAGCGCAGTCACATTACACCATTGCTGATACGCTTACATTGGCTGCCCACGAAACAGAGGATAGAATATAAAATCCTCACTCTCGCTTTCAAGTGCCTCCATGACAAAGCTCCAATCTATCTGAAAGATCTCCTCAGTGAATATGTCCCACCACGGCTTTTAAGATCAAGTTCTAATTGTCAGTTGAATGTCCCCAAGGTCAGATTAAAGTCATATGGACATAGACAGTTCTCTTACACAGCTCCCCTTTTCTGGAACTCACTGCCTCTTCACATCCGACAAGCCGCGTCCGTGGAATCTTTCCAGTCCCAACTGAAAACTTTCCTTTTTAAACAAGCTTATGAACTTTAATCCTTTCTTCAGATCACTCTATCTTTTAGCGCCTAGAGAAATTGCCTTGCAGTTTGATTTGTGCGCTATACAAGAACACTTATTATTATTATTATTATTATTAAATACGCAATCAAAATTATAAATCACAAACCAGATTTGGGGTAGCAACTGAGTATGATGTCCTCTTCACGTATCGTCATGGACTGGAAGTTTTGAATGACGTCCAAACTGATAAACACAGGAAGGTACATCCCTCCATACTCCTGCACATCAAGAGTACACCCTCCGCCATCTTTGAGATGAAGAATATTCTTTTCCATTTCTCAGATTTATCTGAAACACAACATATGAGAGGGAAAATCAGAGATGAAATGACACAGGAGATGTCAT